CAATAGACGAATGGATTAAAAAAATGTGGCATTTATACACAATGGAGTATTACTCTGCATTAAAAAATGACAAAATCATAGAATTTGCAGGGAAATGGATGGCATTAGAGCAGATTATGCTAAGTGAAGCTAGCCAATCCCTAAAAAACAAATGCCAAATGTCTTCTTTGATATAAGGAGAGTAACTAAGAACAGAGTAGGGAGGAAGAGCATGAGAAGAAGATTAACATTAAACAGGGATGAGAGGTGGGAGGGAAAGGGAGAGAGAAGGGAAATTGCATGGAAATGGAAGGAGACCCTCATCATTATACAAAATTACATACAATAGGAAGTGAGGGGAAAGGGAAAAAAAAACAAGGAGGAGAAATGAATTACAGTTGATGGGGTAGAGAGAGAAGATGTGAGGGGAGGGGAGGGAAGGGGGGATAGTAGAGGATAGGAAAGGCAGCAGAATACAACAGACACTAGTATGGCAATATGTAAATCAGTGAATCAGTGGATGTGTAACTGATGTGATTCTGCAATCTGTATACGGGGTAAAAATGGGAGTTCATAACCCACTTGAATCAAAGTGTGAAATATGATATGTCAAGAACTATGTAATGTTTTGAACAACAAACAATAAAAATTTAAAAATAGAAACTATAAAAAAAAGCTTCTATCCAAAATGTGCAAAGAACTCTTTTAAATGAAAGAATTTATTGAGATATAATGTATGTACCATATAATTCTCCCATTTCAGGTTGTATAATTCAATAGTTTAGAGTAAATTACATTATCAACTTTTCAAAGTTTTGTTAAAATATATAAAACAAAATTTGCAATTTTAATCATTTTTAAGTATAATCAAATATTGCTACATACATTCACAATGTTGTATAGCTATAAACACCATCCATCCAAAGCTTTTTCTTACCTTAAACAGATACTCTGTAACTATTAAGCAATAACTTTTTATTCCCTCTCCCTTAAGTTCCTGGTAACCTCTTATTTACTTTTCTATGAATTTTCTTAGTGTAGCTATCTCATGTAAGTGGAATTATACAGTATTTGTCTTTTGTGTCTTGCTTATTTCATTTAGCATAAAACATTCAATGTTCATCCATGTAGTAACATGTATCAGAATTTTATTCTTTTTTGTGGCTGAATAAATTTTTAGTGCATGCTTATACATTTTGTTCATCCATTCATTTGTCAATAGACACTGGGTCAATTCCACCCTTTGGCTTTGTTGCTAGTGCTTTTGGTGTGAATAATGTTGCAGTGCTCATTGGCATACATGTATCTGTTCAAGTCCCTGCTTCCACTCCTTGGGTATATATTGAGGAGTGGAATTGATGGGTTTATACTAGTTCTATGTCTATCTTTCTGAAGCACAAACAAATTATTTTCTATAGAGACTGTAACAGTTTTCATTCCTACTAGCAACATATGAGGTTTTCAATTTCTCCACATCTTCACCAACACTTGTTAGCTGGTTGTGTGTGTGTGTGTGTGTGTGTGGGTGTGTGGGTGGGTGTGTGTTTAAATCATAGCCAACCTAGTAGGACCAGTGTTCCTCTAAACTATCAAGGTCATCAAAAATAAGGAAAATCTGAGATACTGTCCGAGACTAAGAAAAGGTGATAACTAAAAGTAGTGTGATTTCCTGGGTGAGATCCTAGAACAACAAAAAATAAAATGTAAAATGATATCTCATTGTCATTTTGATTTGTATTTCCCTACTAATAATGTTGAACATTTTTTCATATGCTATTGGCCATTTGTATATTTTGTTTAGAGAAATGTCTATTTAAGATTTACTCATGTTGGATTGGGTTGTATTTCTTTCTGTTGTGTTATATATTAGTTCTTATATATTCCCGATGTTAAAACACTATCAGATTTACAATTTTCAAATATTTTTCCCATTCTTTGTATTGTCTGTTTACTTTCTTGATGGTGTCCTTTGGTGCACAGAAGTTTTTCATTTTGACACCAAATTTATCTAATTTGTCTTTGTTGCTAGTGCTTTTGGTGTTATATCTAAGAATCGATTACTAAATCTAAGTTCATGAAGATCTATGCTTGTGGTTTTTCTAAGAGTTTTGGTTTTCAATCTTCTATTTCTGTCATTGCCCGTTTTTAGTTAATATCTGTGTAAAAAGCAAGTTGGGCTTCAATTTTATTCCATTGTACATGAAAATTCAGTGGTCTCTGCACCATGTCTTAAAAAGTCTCTTCTTGCCTCACTGAATGGACTTGATATCCTTGTCAAAAATCAATTTACCATTGATCTGTATGTCTGTTTTCAAATCAATACACACTGTTTTGATTACTTTGGCTTTGTAGTAAGTTTCAAGATCTCTTTAAAACTTGTGTTGGCTATTTAGGGCTGCTTACTCTTCTGTATGAATTTCAGGATCAGCTTTTCTATTCTGCAAAAAAAAGACCATAAGAATCTGAATAATGATTGTATGAAAACCGTAGTTTGGGGTGATATGAAAATTCAACTACATAGAAAAAAACACATTTTAAAATGAACAAAATAACTGAACAGTTATCTCACCAAAAAAATATAGATAGGAAGTAAGCATGTGAAATGATGCTCAATATCATATGTTGATATGGAATTGAAAATTGAAGCAATAATGACATATCACTACCTACCTATCAGAATGACTAAAATTTTTACAAAGCAAAATGACAATATCAATTCCTGGAGAAGATGTGGAGCAGTCAAAATTCTTTCACTGCTGGTAGAAATGAAAAATGGTGAACATTACCTTAGAAAAGAGTTTCATATAAAGCTAAAAACATCACCTTACCTTATGATCTAGCAATCACAATCCTACCCAATTGATTTCAAACTATGACCACACAAAAACATGCACAGAATATTTATAACAGCATTATCTGTAATCACCCCAAACTGGAAACAACCAAGATGTCCTTCAATGAGGTAAATGGAGAAACAAATATGGTACAAACATAAAATGGAATATTATTCAGTGATTAAAAATAGAAATGAGTTGTCAAGTCATGAAAATACATGAATGAACATTGAGTGCCTATTTCCAAGTGAAAGAAGCAAGTCTGAAAAAGCTACATATTCTATTATTCTAATTATATGACATTTTTAAAAGGACAAAACTGTACATATAGAAAAGATCAGTAGTTGCCAGAGATTTAGGGGAGGAAAGAAGGAACAATAAGTACAGCCTATGGGATTTTTGTGCACTAAAATGATTTTGCATGATACTCTAGTGGTGGATGCACAAACTATATATTTATCAGAAACCACACAATTTTACAGCACAGTGCCTTAATGTATTTGTTTTTAAAAAATCTTTTAATAGGTTGGGGGATCCAAGGAATGTATACAGACTATATGACAAGAAAATTGTCATGCCTGTGTTATAAATGTACATGACAATCTCAGTGAAGTGGTTGGAAGGAAAAAGTAACTTGGGAAACAGTGGGGTTTGTAAGACTGACAGCAAAAAAAAACTGTGCCTAAGTCCTCCAGTTTACAAAGTTGCTTCCATGGTGGCACAGTTAACAGTTTTGACACTATCCTGGTGTGTATACTGGAACTGAGCAATTGATTAAACAGATGGCAGATGTTGGGAGTCAGGCTTCTTGCTGTTGGATTGACAATTTACAGATCAGGCCAGATTGGAGCCATGTGCTCATGGATTGGAGTTGGAGACATTAGTATGAACTGATTGAAACTTATTGTAGGTTCAAATAGTCGAATACAAAAACATCTACAGATATGTGTTTATGCCCAGGTTTGAACAGACACAAGTATATCACCTTGTTCTCTCTGTCAAGAGGGAAAAGAAAATGAAACCCAGAGTAAGGAGCATAGTGCTAAATGCAATGCCAAGATTTGGGTTACCAATACCATGCCACAAGAAGAATCAGGGCTTCTTGAAAAAATGAAACTAGGACAAGTCCAGGCAATACATCAGATGAATCTGGAGCATCTTTTAGTGCCTGAAAGTAAGGACTCATTCAAAAAAAAAAAAAAAAACTACATTATGGGAAATGTCAAAGGGACACAGAAGCCAACTGAAAAGCTTCCCATTGGCCCAAGCTGAAACAGTCTAAGCATCAAAATAAATAAAGCAGTATTGAATTATAACCCAAAGTATAAAATAAATACTCATGAGTCTATTCTAATATAAATAAACGGTGACAGAGACAAATTTCCTTTGCAGCATAATCCCAAAACAGTGGTAACCTTTCAGTAGAGAAATCTGACAAAGCACTAACGTGGTCAGCTGGTGAAGACTCAAATCAACAGTGATACATCATGTTTATTGTGTGTGCCCTTGACCTGATGTCACAAATATGGCACTTTACCTCTGTGATCTTCCCCTGAAAAACCCACATCTCCATTGTAATCATGAGAAAATCATAAGACAAATTCCCATACAGGGGCATTGTACAAAACCCTGACCAGTGTTCCTCTAAACTATCAAGGTCACCAAAAATAAGGAAAATCTGAGATAATGTCAGAGACAAAGAAAAGGTGATAACTAAAAGCAGTGTGGTTTCTTGGGTGAGATCCTAGAACAACAAAATATAAATAAATAAAACAAAGACAACATTAGGTAAAAACTAAGGAATAAACTATGGGCTTTAGTTATAATAATGGGTCACTATTGGTTTGTTGATTCTAATGAATGTATCACACAAATGTTAAGAAGTTAGTAATTGGAAAACTGGGTAAGGAGGGCATATGGAAACTCCGTTCCATCTTCCCAGTTTTTCTGTAAATCTAAAACTTCTAAAAAGCAAATTTTAAACAAAACAAAAACCTGATGATGTAGATATTTTTGTCATTTGTCTAGTGAGGAAACCTCAAAGTAACTGGTACAAGATCGCCCCCTACTTCAAGGGCAGAGGTACAATTTGAGTACGGGGCCCTTTCTACTAAATCTCATTGACTTTAGACTCTCTGTTCTCGGCTTCCTGCACACCCATTTATCTATGTGTGTGTTTCTTCCCAGGGGATGGCCTTTACACTTGAAGAAAGGCTGCAGCTAGGAATCCATGGCCTGATTCCCCCCTGCTTCCTGAGCCAGGACGTCCAGCTCCTCCGGATCATGAGATACTACGAGAAGCAGCAGAGTGACCTGGACAAGTGAGTGCCTGGAGTCTGTCCCCTCTATCTGATTATTGGGCTGAGCTGCTGTTTGCATATTCTCCAGCTAGGGAACGTCTGAGAACTCTGAGAGACCCCAGATCCAGCCTGTCATTAGAGTGATGATGTCCCCGAGAGAGAATTGTAATGACAGAGTCATAGCCAACATGTTCTTGGAGCACAGAGAAGAGAATATAAACTCAACTAGTGGTACCTGGGAGGTCTTTTGGGAAGGCAGGATACCAGTCAGCCAAGAAGCACAAAGACTTCAGCAAACAGCAATGGCGTTCAGTAAGGGCATTTCACTGAGAAGGAAGAAATGAGGTGAAGATGTATAAAGAGGCATGTTAGGAAGTGGTACTTGCAGTATCATTCCTGGAATAAAGGGAATGTGGTGGGGGATAAGGCAGATGGACAGGGACACCTTGTCCTGTGTTGGCAGTTAGATAGGCAGCAGTCACTAACCCTGCCTCCTCTCTGAATCTTCATCAGTAGACAGGTGGACACACAGACCCCATGTGGGAGACCCTGGGTCAGTTTAGCAGTTTTACTAAAGAAAGTATCACCTCTCAGGTCACGTGGCTACAAATTGGCACAGCCAGGATTTGTACACAGATGACTGAATCCAGAGTCTATACTTTTAACTTCTCTGTTATGCCCCAACTAAGAACAGCAGAACCTAATGGCTATAAAACTAGACTGTAGTTCTAAACTGAGTTCAAATCCACATTTCACTGCTTAATAACAAGTTACCTCACCTCTCTGGGTCATTCTCCATCTATACAATGAATATGTCAAAGGTACCTAACTCATAGGGCTTAAATGAAGCTAAAATGTGTTAGTCTTTGTGAAGTGCTTGGGGTAGTGCCTGACACATAGTAACTACTGTGTGAGAGTTTGTTAAATGCATGTGTCACATTGTATGGGATCTAGAAGAAATGTTGGAAGAAGAAAAAATTTCCCTCTATGTCCTTAGAGCTAAATGACCAAGACTTTGGATCAGATGGTATTGCCGCCCTCAAGAGGAGAGGTCAGCAGCACCTCACAGTCATCCTACACCTATCCCCCTATGTTTTCCACATATCAACCATAGCTTCTGAGAGGTAGTGAACAAGCAAGCCTCAGCTCACCCCCACACCCAAAGTACTAGATTCTAAGGATTTTACTCATATTAACTCTAAGGCCCTACTGCAACCCAGGTCAAATATTCTCTCCTTCTTGATCATTCCACTCAGAAGCCATGTCACTTGGAAAAGAAAACCAAAAATTATATAACAAATTCAACTAATAACATGAAACATACCCCAACTTTGAACAATCTGAGCCTCCCCCTCTTCTGTTAAATTCATAAAAATTAAAATAAGTCCAAAGTGAGATTTTCTTTATTAAAGATATTGAACTTTAAAAATTAAACTCCCCAAGTCCTTCCCTCCATGGTTCTTTCCAGCTAGATAGGTCTCACTCATTTGCCAGGAAGGCACTGGAGGCTCAAGGAGAAATGAGAGTGCCCACCCCTGCGAGCACTAGAGAGCTCACTCTGAATGCTATGCTAACTATTTGATCCACTCATTCCCAGGACTCCCTCATTTCAGCAGGTACTTCAAGAAATGCCAAGAAAGCTTTCCAGCTTCCTTTGGGTAAGGACAGTGTGGGTTGGTAAATGTTTAATAACTGGCTGTCTTTGGGAGAGAGTGGAGCAGAATGTAGAATTAAGAAGAGATGTGCCTAGATGGCTACTGGGTATGGGAATCCTCTACACTGGCAATGAGTTGAGATATTGGCCATCCCTACTGTAAGTCTTCCCTTCCTAAAAACATTGTCCAGAATGGAGAGTTCAGTGTCTTTCATGCAGAAGAAGGTGCTGAGGCTCCAGGAAGTCACAAGACTTCCTCAAAGTCACACAGCTAGTAAGTGGCAGAGCTAGAAGTCAAACACAGAGTGCCAATGCCATGTCCAGGGTTCATTCCCCTATAGCCCAGGTCTCTTCCCCTACCAGGGCATCTCCCTCAGCCCACTCCATGCAAGGGCCTCCAGTGCCCCCACCCTCTCTCCCAAGTGGTTGTCCAGAAAGACTGATTCAGCAGACCTCAATGTGAACCTCAACCCCTGAGTTTTCTCTCCCAGGGGTTTTTGCATTTTTAGGAGTATGGGTGAAAGGCTCTTTTTCTAGCTTGGTGATTTCAGGCTTCTGGGAACAGGTAAAAGAAAGATTATTTTCATATTATACCTCTTGAGATGACTTGCTACTGAGCTGTGTGTGCACTCTGCTCGTGACAGAAAATAGCCATAGGTGGTAGGAAAGGACAGTTTGTATGGCACTCCTGCCTGGTACTTTACTGGGCCTACTTGACCTCCAGAGTACTTTTGTTCTATTTTCATTCATCAATGTCCATATAGTAATATCACTATCTCACACGTTGTTTGAGGGCACATACTCTGGTATCAGACTGCTTTGGTTCAAATCCCTACTCTTCCATGAAATCTTGGGTAAGTTAATTTCTCTGCCATTAGTCTCTTTATCTCTAAAATAACATGAATTATAGTACCGATCTCACAAGTCACTGGAAGCTTTACTGTAACCTATTTTGGACAGTACCTACACTGCGTGTAGTGTTAAAAAACTGAAGGAAGCTCATATTCTCCACATTTCTTAGAGGTCAGTTCCCAGGCTTAAGGGAGACAGACAATTTGTCCCTGATTGTCCCACTGCAGCTGAGCCAGACCCGAACCCTGGCTTCACACCAACCCAAGTGGCCTCAGCCTTTCCATAGCAGCAGCATCAAGGGCCTTCGGTAATCCTGAGCTCAACTTGCTACTTCTCTCCCTTTCCAAGGTACATCATTCTCATGACGCTCCAAGACCGGAATGAGAAGTTGTTCTACCGAGTGCTGACGTCTGACGTGGAGAAGTTCATGCCAATCGTGTACACACCTACCGTGGGGCTGGCCTGTCAGCACTATGGCCTGACCTTCCGCCGGCCACGGTGAGCGGATCTCAGGGGTCATTCCACAGAGGGCAATAATGACATGTTATTAGGCAAAAATATTGGCATTGCATTTCCTTCCAGAGTTAAAGAATTTGGGGATGGTTTTCTAAAGATGTCACTTTTTTGTCTTTGTGTCTTGTTGAGTTCATTTATATATATATACACACATATATATAATTTTTTAATAGGAAAAGTGGGAAGATTTTCCAAAGAGCCCTCAGTGCCAAGTGCCTGATATAGAAATACACAGTTCTAGCACTAATGATCAGTGGTTATTAGTGTTATATGTAATGGAATATTACCAGAGAATATTATTAGCCTGTGTTAGGGTATGTAAACATACAATGTACCATGTATAGATGTGTAATTTACATTTATATGGGATTTCTAAATCAGGGTTTACAGTTGATGTGTTCTATGGGGAGCAGATAATCATGGGTCTATGACAGCTTTTTAAATTTGTGCTGTCATGAAAAGTGAATGCAAAGAATTGAGACAAAAAAGCATTTGTCTACAGTGATCCAAGCATACCCACAGATTCTGACTAGAATGCATGGGCTCTGGGACTCTGTAGTGGTGAAACAGGAGAGTAGAGGAACTGGGTAGAATTGACAAGGGATTCTGCCCAAAAGAGAGAGTCCTTTGTCTCCTTCACACTATCAAGGGGGTTGGACTAATAGGGGACTGCTTCATACTGGTTCAAGCTTCACTCAAGGTCCTCCAAAAGGTCAACCACAGACATTGGTGTGGCAGCAGTGAGGGGTTCCATGCAGGTAGAAACAGGCCTCTGCCAATCACTTGCTCCCAGAGAACCAAGTTATCCTTTGGTAGAGGTAGACAGTGTATTGCAGAAGCTAGAAGCACAGCATAGGAAATGAGTATGAAACTGACCAAGCAGGGAGCTTATAAATGAACCGGAACCAGGAGAAAATCATAACTGCAAAGGCCAACTATAATCCTAAAATCTTTACATATCTTACTTAATTATCTCAGTCCCCCTGTAGGTAGGCACTTTCATCATTCTATTTACAGATGAGGAAGCAGAAGACAGAGAAGTAAGTTGCTCAAAGTCACACAGCTTATAACTCTCAAAGCCAGGACTCAACCATGCTGTTGGAATCACAGTATTCTGTCCCATGGTTCAGGTCTGTGCACATTTGGTGGGCATTCAGGGTGGGCGCCATTGAGCTCCATGTATATTTGACCATCCAGGAGTCTAAGGTAGGGATTACCAGGTACCATTTCCAAAGCCTTCCTGGGAGGAATTGATTCAGCCAGTCCTAGAGCATGCAGCTGGGTGAGCCTGAGGCCAGCTCCGGCAGACTGAACCATCTTCTTGGATTAGTCCCTCCCCTCTTGGTGCAGACTTCCCACATGTGTTATGCACAAACCCTTCTTCAGATGATTACCCAATTAAGTCATTTGACATTTGCCTTTCTGAGCTGTTACTCTAGGTTTCCATTGGCTGCTTTCCAGGTGTTGATTTCACACCTGCCTTGTTCCTGGGGAAAATGAGCATTTGGCTCCACCCCAGCCCTGAGCTTCATCTGAGGCCTGGCTTAGAATGGCTTTATGGATTAGCATCTGAAGGGAGGACAGCCCTGAGGCCAAGAGGAAGAGAGCCAGGACTTCTCGGTTTCTGAAATGATAAACATTCCTGCCAGGTTCCTGGGAACAATGGAATCCTCTGTGAAAGGGCCTGGCCCCCCACCAAAGCTAATTAAGTCCAGCTGATTCTAAAATTGAGTCTCCGACACACTTGGGCTCTGCATCACCTCATAACCAGGAAGAAGATGCCAGAGTATCTCAGGGGCACCTGAGGGTCCTAGGCAACTAGATACAGGAGAAGCTTCTGGACTCTGTTGGCCCTCCCTGTCTTATACTCCTCTCTCCTGGCACATTCTCTCCATGTGCCTTTATGGGCCTGGCTTGCAGGAATGCCCTCTGAAGGTCAACAGCATGTGACTTAGAAATAATGAAAGCTAGCTCTGACAGAGGCCAGGACAGAATTCAACCCAGAAGATGGGTATGGAGAGGAAACTACATGGTATCCAGTGTCAGTGAATACTCTTCCTCCCCAGGCCACCTCCTCTTGACCAGCATTGTCTTCACCTTCTTCATCTTCTTAGATTTCAAAGTGTACATATTTGTGAAACTTAAATTTCCAGTTCCAGTGTGAGATCTAATTTGTATGGGTCATAGCAAAAGACTTTCAAGATACCTATTAAAGATGGTGAAGCAAACTGTATTCAAGGGGGCCATGGCCAGAGGTATAGGGACGACTGCAACAGAGTGCAGTGATTACAGAAGTAAAGAAGAAGACTGGTCTCAACTCCAACAAGGACAAGTAAGGTTCTATAACCAGTGAGCCTGATGGGAGTCAGTGAATGAAAAATTATTAAAATTACTAAAAGGAAACATCAAGAATAAGGAATTCCTGGCTAAACTGTCTGATAAGATTATTGCTGAAGGCAAGCCAGGGTGATAAGTTTTCAAGGTGGTTAAATACTAAGGGTGGGAAATTTTTGCTGAACTTAGTAAGATTCTTACACAAAGTGGGTACTTCAAGGACAGAAAGAGAAGCTCACCATCTAGCCTAGTCAAAAAGAACTCAGTAGCCTAACTAAAAGTTTGGTCAAAGCTAGGTTATGGTGTGAAAGGAGGTTGGACTTGGAAGTCAGGAAATCTTGACCTTGACTCTCAGCTCCTGATGACATTACAATTAGCTAGTGCCCCCTCAGTTTCTTCATGTGTAAAATGGGAATGCTACCTATTCATGTGGCTTCTTGTGAAGATTTCATGAGATTCAATATGTCAAGGGCCTCGCCCTAATAGATGTTCAGTAGCCACGAATTGTCTGACCCATATCCCCAGCATGGGGCATCTGACTGAAACACCCCACCCAAAAATGTAAACCATAAACCCACTGAGAGCATCTCAGTCCCCTGAAATATCACTGTCTTCTGTTTTGGGATTCAGAATTTAAATTATCTATACTTGTGCTTAACTAGTAAATCCATTAGAAAGTCCTGTGAGGAATTAGACAACAGACTGTAATGAGTTAAAGAGGTCCAGAAAGGAGTGGGTCATGTCTTTATATAGTTGGAGGCTCGCTCTGTTGATAATACCTGAAGAAATATTTGGATTTGGACAAAGCCAGCAGCTCTTGACCCTAAGCCAATTTGCTATCTACAAACAGGTGGGTTTCTGCATACAGGCCAGTAACCCAGCAGTAACAGTTAATACACATTATTAACAATTGCCATTTACTGAATGCTTGCAACAATCATGGTGGGCCCTAGGATAGATACTTCATGTACATTTTATCTGAGCCCTAAAACAACCCTAAAAGGTGCTTTATAGAGAATAAAAGTAAACTAACTTGTCTAAGACATTATAGCTGACTCAAAGCCAATTCCCCGTGTTTTTCCTGAATATGCAAGCCAGCTTTGCTTGGCTCTGGTAAACATGGTGCCTCTGACATAAACATTTGCAGGCTTGCCTTCTTATAAACTCCCTTGTTTGGTAAGTCTGCACACAAGAGGGACATGGGGAGACACACAGACACACAGACACACACGCACATACACACACATACACACACACACACACGCGGTAGGGGCAGGATACCATGATGAACAGAGCAATGGGGCTGGAGTCCAGAGTCCAAAGTCCATGGGTCAGTCCCTAATAACCTGTGTCCTGTTACTCCACCTCCATATACCCTATCAATTGCAAAGTTCCTCATAAATTTAAAGGGTGTTACTTTTTCATCTCTTCTTCCTCATCCTAATCCTCACAAAGTTGTATGGTTAAGGCACACATTCTCCTCCTTGTAGTTTCTTGCTTCCTGGTCAATACATCTGGTGAACCTCATTTTCTTGGAACATTTTTCTCTTCCGCCACTCTACCTCCACCACCCACAAAAATACACACCTACAAAAGGAACCCTGGTAAATGAATCATGTGCTTCTGCTTCCTAAGTATCCACTGGAGCCCATTTATAGTCACATACAGAAAAAAAAAAAAGTCTCTCAAATTATTTGGCTCTCAGCAAAGCCAAATAATTGAGTCCCATTTCCAACTTCCCTCATGTCTCAGTGACAGGATTTGTAGAACAGGGGAGTCACGTCCTCCTCCTTCCCTAGGCTTCCTCCTGTAGCTCCTATCACCACTCTCCCGACTTGCACCCCCAGTTTCCTGGCTCTCCTGTGCCATTACCACTTTGTAATGGAAATAGCTGCCTACCCATCTGATGCCAACAACTGATGAGATAGGAGCAAACATCATACTCAAGGGTAAGCTATTTGTGCAAATATGTCGCTGGGTAGCCTGCCTCTAAAAATGAACTGGCCAGTTGGAGTCCTTTTTGGGAACTTGTACTAAGACATGGAAAAAGCTACATAGAAAGAATTTTACAGTTGGGAAGGGAAACAAAGGCAGAAGAAGATGCTGTGGTTTACACTTTAGAGTCAAGTTATGGTGGACCAAAGGTAAATGCTAGTTATGAAGGAACAGAAAAGGAACAGGAAGTAAAGGAGTGAGTCTATGGAGAGAACTGGCCAGATGAGAGAGAAGAGATGGAAGACAGAGGCAGAGACTGATTGTTCCCCAGAGTTGTGTTGGTTCATGACAGTTTTCCACACTAATTCATGTTCACAAATTTACCATACACCCTCTTTCTCAAGAAGTAACTTAACCTCCAAATTGGGCATCTAGAAGAGCTAAATTGAAAAAGACCTGTGAAATCAGCTGGATCTGATTAGTTCCTAATCCGCTTGTTAATAGGTTGTATAAAGCTAACACATTAAAGTAAAGCATCAGGAAATCATGGAGTACTTGCTAAAATACAGATTTAGCAAGGCTTGGAAGATCCCCAGAAACTTCATACCTAACAATATCCAGATGATACTGATGTTGCTGGTGCAAGAACCACCCTTTGAGAAACCCTAGATTAAAGTAGTTCGTTGTAGAATGTAGAGAGCATATGGTGGAAGCAGAAGAATAGGTATCTCCAGTCCCAGCTGCACGTTAGTAGAAAGAGCTGAGAGTTATGAGATATGGTTTCTGGTCCCAGTTCATGTCACCAACTAGGAGTACGAAATTCCATAAATCCTTCCCCCTTTCTGGGCCTCATGGATAAAGTGAGGGGACTTTACTAGGTGATCTCAGGGGTTCCTTCCAACCCTGATAGTCTCTAATTCTTGGAGCAGACTAGGACACTATGGCTATAAATTTGCCTCTACGATTTCTGGCATTTTAGAGAAAAGAAATGCAAAAGTACAAGAAAACACATGCTTTTCATTTTCTGACAAGAAAAAGCTTGCAGGCTTATCTGTTGAAGTGTCATTTTTACTGAGAGCTGATTCAAAAATGGGTGCTTTCCCAGAAGGCCAGCAGGGGAGTTCAGGGTCTGTTATGGGTTGTTTGGTGTTGTGGCTTGGGAATGGATGCTGGAATAGATCTAAGAAAAGTGGCATGAGGAGCCCCTCCAAAGCAGGAGGAGGTTGTTCAGCTATTATTTGACAGGAATGTCACATGGAGTAAGTTAAATTGTTCCTGGACCCTACTTTGCTGAAACATGTTGGAATAGCAAGAAGGAACGTTTATTTTTATGTCTGAGTCACATGGGTTTCAATCACTGAGGGAATTGGCTTGTTCCTTTTCAAAGGAAGTTTTGAGATTTACTTTCAAAAAAAGTATGTACTTAACGGACCTACTCAGCAATTAAGCACCCAAAGGATCTTCTTTCTCTGTGGGGAGGACAAAGGACATTCCCCAGTCATCCATGAGTTTGGGTAAAGAAGACTTGAGAATGAAGGTGGGGATTCAACTGCTGAAAAGCTCCTCACGGAGGCAAAGATGATATTTTCCTGGAGCAGGGATAAACTTTATTAAGTAGAACAGGATGTTCTGAGTTTGACTTCCTTTAGCCAGAGGCAGATCTCCCTGGCAATTTAAACAAATGGATTTTTGTTTCTTTTTTTTTTTTTTTAAATCTGGCACTGTCTTTTCCCCTATGTCCCTGCCAATCCTAGCCATAGTGATCAAAAGAGTAAGTGTGGGGAGAATTTCCTTACTCAGAGAAGGAAATACATACATACAAGCAGGGGTTGAGTAGACCTTTCTAAAGATAACCTTGATCTCCCACTGACCTGTAAAATGCACTGAAAGTTGTGTCCACTCACACTAAATTTAGTCCAGCAAGCATGGCTTCTTCAGAGAAACTGTAAGCAGTGCAAATGGTTTGAAAGTTCTGGACTACAGAAGAAGTAAAGGATCACTGGTACAGAACTTGCGGGCTTATCTGTTGAAGTGTCATTTTTGCTGAAAGCTGTGATTCAAAAATGGGTGCTTTCCCAGAAGGCCAGACCAAATGAACCCCATCAGTAGCTGGCCAGTCCACAATGCTCCTTATTATATTGATGTTCTGCTCTTAGTCCATTTTACCCATAGTAATCCCTTCAAATTTCCCAGGTGCCCTGTTGGCATAACATTGAAAACTTCATTTCTGAACTTGATTTTTTTAGAAACTCGAACTAGCATTTCTCAAGCCAGTAGAGAATGGAATTTAGAGAGGATAGATATTATCTGAAATTGAGAGGGGCCTGTCTGGAGTACTGTCTTTTACAGAAACAAAGCTCTGGTAGGGTGACATCAGCATTGTTCAAAGGGTTACTGGAGGGGAACAAGTGAAAAGACTAGAAAGACAAGAAAGAGTGTGGGTGGTGGAAGATGGATTTCTTCAACTTGGGACATTTAAACACTCTCTTCTTCTAAATCACAGGTTTTGTGGGAGAGGAACTGCTTGTTGTTCTTCCCTGAATCTCCTGTGGTGCTGAGCATAGTGTACTTTTAAACAATTAATAGAGAGAGCAACTAAAGACAATCTTCTGGGTGTGGGAGTGAGCTCAGTGGTATAGTACAGCATGCACAAGGCCCTGGTTTGGGTCTTCAGCAGCAAAAACAAACAAACAAAACAAAACTTCTGATTAGATTCCACAAGTATCAGTTGAGCACCATCTTTATGGTTTGGCCACCGTGAGCACCTGAAAGATCCAAATGAAATAATGAAGTAATTCCGTGGTCCCTGGCCTTGAGGAGTTTATGGTCCAACTAAGAACAACTTTAAAGCAACATAAGCCAATGAGGGATGTGGGGTTTGGATCATCTAGTTTACTTTGTGAGTATTGATGAAGTAATTCACTGTGGTTAAGAAATGTCCCCACTGAATTGTTGTGGGTTTTTTTTTTTTAATTGTTGGTTCTTGATCTATTCCTTGAAAGGATTTTGATTCACATTGGGAAGATGGCCCAGCACAGTCCCTGGTACATACAAATTTATTAGATGGGTTCCAAGTAGGAGAAACTGTGTAGACAAGCTGTATGAGTAGAACAAACCGAGAACCATAGACTCTCAGGAATGGGAGTAGGAAGGACACTGCTGGTTGCCTTTTCTTCCTTCTTAACATCCCCAGTTTTTCCCTTAGGTTTTTTCCCTCCAAATGGCCACATACTTTGAGTCTTGGCCCTTTCAGAACAAAGCAGTGGGTCAAAATTAACCTCTACCTATCTTGGTACTCTTGTCTCTTGCCAGTGATTAACTTAGGAGTAGATACATGACCCAAGTCTGGCCAAAAATATGGGAAAATGGTCTGCCTAAAGACTTTGGGGAAAGGTTTTTCTCACCAAAGAGAGCCCCTTTTCTTTCCTGGAAACTCTCATATCTGCTGGGACACCGGGAACCTGAGGAAAACAACCCTAGGGCCAAGTAAAATGCCAAGGATGAGTCTGAGTCATTGATGACATTGTTGAGCCACTAAATAAACAAATTCTGGAGCACTTACCTCTGAACTGCTTGTAATATGAAATAAATTTCCTGTTTTCAACCAATTGGTGTCTGTTACCTACAGATAAAAGCAATTCCCCCTCTCTGATGGGTTTCTTGGATCGCCTCTGTCATATAACAATAGCTCACATCTATTTATGCAGAACTTCCAATGCACTGGCACTCTTCTGTGTGCTTTACTCATTCAGATCCACAACATCTCTTGTGTTATGCAATATCAGTCCCATTTTCATAAAGAGGAAACTGATGCACTGAGAGTTAACCTGACTTATACATCTAGTACATGGTAGAATCACAGTGTATTCCCAGGCTTCAAAGTGTAAACCCTTGTCTTCTCCCCATTTCATGAGCCTCTCTCTGGTGATCACCCATCTCCAGGACAGAGGACTCTCCATGGCATTGACCTTTGCATGTGCAGGGTATGTAAGGAGATCACTCCACTGACAAGGATAGGGAAGGTAAGGCTGGATGTAAGGCAAAGTGAGAAGTTCAGATTGGGCTAGCCACTTTTGAGTGGAGGATACTGTCATGGAAGCATTTCTTGAGGATGATAATTCTCAGAAGACTAAAGAGGAGAGCCCAAGGGAAGCTATTGTATTAGCTAGCATGCTCACAAGAGCCTTAGTGACCTAGATGGGGAAATGAAGGGTGAAAACCCAGGATGCCAAGAAACAGAATCTGCAGTGCATGCAGACTGGTTGGATGTGAAGGTGAAAGTGAGAGTTCTCAGATTATGAACTGTGTTGTCATGGACTGAGAATTGTGCAAAGTTGAACTTGGGCTCCAGAAATGGTACACTGAGCTGGATTATAACTACAACTACTACCACTTGCTTTTATAGAGTGGTCAAGTTGCCTTTATTATCTTTGAATCCCCAGCAGTTTCAAGAATTCAGATTGTGTCATGGTCCCAGATCAGAGGTTCAGAAGTGAAGAGAGACTTGCCTAAGGCCATTGCCGTTAGTAAGTGGCAGGACCCAAACCTGTGTCTGTCCTATTCCAAGGTCTTTCCCCACTTCCATCTTGAAACTATGGTCCTACATTGTTAAAACTCAGCATTTCTGAATCATGTGTATTCCCACAAATGTGCCCCAACCCCCCTCTTTCCCCAAGAACAAAAAGCAAACACATTTGTATACTGAATGAAATTAGCAATGGATACCTACAGAGAGTCCATGTGCTTCCGTCTCAGGACTAGAGAACCTTGCAATCAGAGGAGATGAGTGGAGCTGTGAACTGCAGTGCAAAGTCAGGGTACTTGGTTAAAGTGCCTCAGGGGAAAACGTCAGGATTTGCGCAGGTTCTTCACACCTGCTCAGGCACAGCCTTTTAGACACATAGCAAGGATCCTGAAAGCTCCCACAATATTCCTTTGAGTTGGTGAGAGGATGTTTAATGGCCTCTACATTAAAAAGACCCCTGTGTGGCCTGTGGTGCACTCTAGCCAACACAAATGTTACCTATGTGCCCCTGTAGCCCACTTGCAAGCACTCCCAGACAACCCCACGTTGGAGTTCCAAGACAGACTGAGGAATTTGCCTCCTAAGAGACCTTTGAAAGCAGTAAAATCTCTTCAAGAAGCAGTATATGGAACCCTGCATTGAATGGATGGAGTTGGTGGACATTAAGAGACCCTTGAGTTCTGCATTTCTGTAGGCTTGCCTCTCCGTGCAGCATGCACTGGCAGGATCACAGAGCTATAAATCAAGCAGCTCAAGCCAAGGCCAAGAGAGGAAGTAACACTCTGCCCACCAGAGACACAAGTCAGTAGAAATGGTAGGACTAAAACTCAGATCTCTTGCCTCTTATTCCAAAACTCTTTACTTTTCTCCATTTTTACACAAAGATATTGTTTTTACAAAGAGATATTATTCCCACACTATTTGAATCAAACTTAATTCACAATTGTTATTTATATTTGTATAATGTATCAAAGTTGTAGAATGAATTCAAATACAATCCTTTCAAGTGCCCTATGAAACAGGGGAGCCTCCCTTCACACAAAGAAAGGAGAAGTCAAGCAGTTAAGTGACTCCCCAAAGCTATATAAATAGTAAGAGAAAGAACCCAACCTAGGGTGTGGACCTTTCTCTTTGCATCCAGGACTCTTTCCACTTCTGGGCTGTAGAATTCCAATAAAGAGGAACCACTATTGTATACCCAACACCCAGCGCAGGGCTTGCCACATGGTCCTTGTTAGATGGAAAGGAGGATGGATGGGAGGATCCATGAGTAGACAAAAGAAATTCAGGATCTTATTTTCCTAATGATTTTTAATAGAACCCATGGGAGTGAATTTCTATTATGAATGGCTCCACTTAAAGGCAAAGAGTTATAACTCTCTATAACTGTTTTAAATGCTTGGGTCTTAAATTTTTGAAACATTAATGTAAAAAGTGGTTTAATTACTTTAAGAATTTTCAATAAGAAGACTGCATAGTACACACTCAGTAAATGTTTCTGGAATTTAATTATTTAAATGCTAGAATGGGGAAATAAAAGTAGTTGAAGAGTCTCTATGTTACTAAGATAATTAAAGAATAAACTTTACTGATTATTTGAAAAATAACTTGCCCCAAATTCAAGCCTATTGGGAAGAAATAAATAGCTTGAGTGAAGTGAGATCGTGACCTGCACATCCAGGATCTTTGGTTCTGGAGGGTTAATAACAATGTCCAATCCTCATCACAAATGAGTGAAGAGATTGCCTTTGCCTGCTGGTGCGCAATGGACCCTGGGTGAGCCAATCCGTGCTTCTCATGTGCAGCCAAGCAGAGGGACATAGAAGTGAAGTTGTCATGGTAACTTTTTTGCTGATTAGAAGAATAGATGAAGCTGGAGTCACCCTCTTTGCTTCACATGGGGGTGAAAGTCAGGCTATCCAATAGCGAGGAGCAGTGAGAATTCTCTCTAGACAAAGAAAGTACAGGAAGTTTGAATTTAACAAATAGTAGAACAAATGCAGGTCAGATGCTGGCTAGAATCATTAAGATGCCAGGTAAATAGTTTTTATTATCAAACTGAGGAGGCAGTGGTTAAAAGTTGGTCTCTATCTAGGTCTGTGTTTTTAAACTTTCCTAATGTTGTGGGGATAAATGAAGCAAGGCCAGAGTCAGAGGGCAAGCTTTTGCTGTAATCAATCAATCCCCTGAACCCCAAGTTCAGGTAGTTTCAGAACTTTATACCCAGCATGTAAGGGGAGGGGCTCAGAAGTTCACAGTCTTCAGAAGTTCACAGAAAAGCAGCTTTTTCTCTCACTGTTTTGGGCAAGTTAACCCTTCAAGTATAATACCTGAGAAAGGGAGAGCTTCTTCTCCCCCTTTTTCTCTCCCCCTGCCAGTTGTTACCATGGGGCCCAGTTGGTAACTTATCTTAAAAATGTAGACATCTCTGTGAAGTCCCAGCTCAAGGCCAGAGGCCTTGTTTGCACATTTCTACAAACTACTCTACTGGATATGTTTGTGAAAAATTAATAAGGGGGTGTCCAGCACCTGGAGTGCTGGTATCTTCTTGGCCAGTAGACAAGTAAAACAGGGTGGCATGAAACTAGGAAGTTTATCTACATTGAACTCTTTTGCAGAGGCTCTTTTGCTGACAGTCCTAAAATCAGCCATGGTGAAGATGTCTGGAGAAGCCCAGTTAAGACTTTTCTGTGGAGAAAAACGGTGCCGCTTCACTAAGAGTCTACTTATGAAAAATTACAGACTCCAGCTCCTTTTCCCAAGCTTCTGCTCTATCGAGTCAGGAGAGGAGTCCAAGTTTTTTCATTTAAAAACTATCCATACCTTCCTTCTCCAGCAGAGATCTGATGGACCATATTCCCATAAACCCTGCACTAGTAAGCATAGAACATCAGAGAGAAGATCCAAGCTGGAGCCCACTCAACTCTTCTCACCTCATGGAAAAACTTAGGGCTAATAAAGCCTGTTTTTTTATTTGAGTCTCATTTTAAAACAAAACAAAAGCAGAGTTTGAATAACCAGTGATTTATAACAGTTCCCAAATAAGCTACTTTAGTTTATATATTGTACTTTATTTTTTTAAATTTTATTTTATTTTATTTTTTATTGATTTTTTTAAATAAATGCATTACAATCTTAATACATGAATACAGCACAATTTTTCATATCTCTGGTTGTATATAAAGTATGTTGACACAAATTCATGTCTTCATACATGTACTTTTGGATATGATGTCTATCACATTCCACCATCCTTACTAATCCCCTGCCCCCTCCTTTCCCTCCCACCCCCTCTGCCCTATCTAGAATTCATCAATTCCTCCCATGCTCTCCCTCCCTACTCCACTATGAGTCAGCCTCCTTGTATTAGAGAAAACATTCGGCATTTTTTGGGTGGGGATTATCTGACTTCACTTAGCATTATCTTCTCCAACGCCATCCATTTACCTACAAATGCCATGATTTTATTCTCTTATTGCTGAGCAAAATTTCATTGTGTATATATGCCACATTTTTTAATCCATTCATCCACTGAAGGGCATCTAGGTTGGTTCCACAGTTTAGCTATTGTGAATTGTGCTGCTATAAACATTGATGTGGCTGTGTCCCTGTAGGATGCTGTTTTTAAGTCTTTTGGGTATAAACTGAGGAGAGGGATCGCTGGGTCAAATGGTGGTTCCATTCCCAGTTTTCCTAGGAATCTCCATACTGCTTTCCATATTGGCTACACCAGTTTGCAGTCCCTTTAATCTTACATTCTGCCTTAACATTTTATTAATTGATAGAAATAAAAAAAAAAACTGTTCAGTTTGCCCAATGCCATTCCTCTACCTTATCTAGGTGACAAACCCTGCTTGTTCTTTAAAAATTCATCTCAAATGTCCATCTCTTGCCACCTTGAGCTCTGTCCTCCATCCTTCACTTGCAGAATACTTTGTTCCCTCTTATCTGTCTATGCACAGCACCCTCTACTAATACCCTACTGTAGAATTTACTCTAATAAATAATTCAATAGCTATTTACAGATCTGTCCTGTCACTCTCTGTTCTCTCATGTAGGAAGCTCATTAGACAACATGTGTTTTATGCTCTTTGTATCTTTCCCTTTCTTTAACTCCTTTGCCATAAGGTGAAATAATGAATGAATGACTATATGAAGTAGATATAGGTTCCATGTAGGCAGGAATTTTTGTCTGTTTTATTCACTAGATAAATATCTCAAGTTCGTAGAAAAGTACCCACTACATAGATGGATCTATTAAATAATTATTGAAATAATAAATAAGTGGTTTAGTTTACACAAACCAATAGAAACAAGAGAATTGACCTACTATGTTCCCAGCCTAACAATATGATTTTTTCATTGGACATCAATATTGTCACAGTCTCCTGAACAGATTAAGATTGAGATCCCTATTTGACACTTCCTTCATTGACTAGTTTGGAGTTTGGCTGGGTGGACCTAAGGTATTCTAATAGAGAAAAAGCAGTAACCTTGCAAGCATTTATCTCAAACCCACATAATTTAGAGCAAGTCAACTGTTTTTATTTTCATCCTTAGTTATTACATTCCTTTACTTATGGTAATACTGGAATGGGAAGAATCCTCTAGGATTGTTTACAAGGAATAGCAATCATAAAAATAACTTCATTTATTAAGAATTTACTAAATAGTCTAGGCAGTCCATTTATTTGTGTGATCTTCAACTTTTTTCATCAATGTTTAATAGTTTTCAGCATACACATCTTTTACCTCCTTGGTTAAATTTAATCCTAAGAATTTGCTATGCTATCATAGATGGGATTTTTTAAAATTTCTTCTTTACACATTCATTGCTAGTAAATGGAAACATTACTGATTTTGTGTGTTTACTTAGTATTTTAAAACTTTACTGAATTCGTTGATCAGTTCTAACAAGTTTTTCAGTGAAGTCTTTAGAGTTTTCTATGTGTAAAAACATGTTGTCAGCAAAGAGAAATAATTTCACTTCTTCCTTTCCTGTTTGGATGCCTTTTCTTTCTTTCTCTTGCTTAATTGCTCCGGCTAGGCTAACAGTACTGTGTTAAATATAAGTGGTATGTTAGTTAGCTTTCTGTCACTGTGACAAAACACCTGAGAAAATCAACTTAAAAGAAGGAAAGATTTATCGGTCTCACAGTTTTAAAGGTTTTAATCCATGATAACTTGGCTCTGTTGGTTTGAGGCAGATAGTGAAGCAGTGTATCATGGTGGAAGTACATGGTGGATGAAGTCCATTCATTTCATGATAGGTGGGCAGTGGGGGAGGGGGGAGACCAATGTCCCAATATTTCCTTCTAGGGCATGATCCTAATGACCTAACTTCCTTCTACTAGCCCCCACGTCCTAAAATATCTATCACCTCCCAATACTGCAACTTTGGTCTGCTAGTATTTTGTTGAAGATTTTTGCATTTATATTCATTAATGTTTTTTGGAACAGATTGAGAAAAAAATGTAGTAGCTCTTCTTTAAGTGTTTGATAGAATCCAAAGCCATTGGTCCTATGCTTTTCTTAGTGGGATATTTTTATTACTAATTTAATCTCTATACTTGTTATTAATCTGTTCAAAATTTTTATTTCCTCATAATTCAGTCTTGGTAGGTTATACTTTTCTAGCAATTAATTCGTTTCCTCTAGGTTATCCAATTTCTTGGCATATAATTGTTCATAGTAGTCTCTTATGATCTTGCATTTCTGTGGTTATCAATTTTAACAATTTCTATTTCATTTCTGATTTTATTTATTTGGTTTTTCTCCTTTTTTCCTTAGCTATCTTGGATAACTAGGGGTTTGTCAATCTTACATTTTCAGTTAACTAATTCAGTTTTGTTGATTATTTCTATTGTTTTTCTAGTTTCTATTTCATATATTTATGCTCTGGTCTTTGTTATTTCTTGTCTTCTGCTAACCTCGAACTTAATTTGCTCCTTTTATAGTTCCTTGAGATATGACATGGGTTGTTTCTTTGAGATCTTTCTTCTTTTTTGATGTAGATATTTATTGCTATAAAGTTCTCTCTTAGAACTGCTTTTGCCGCATCAATTGTGGTATATTGTCTTTGTCTCCAAATGTTTTTAAAGTTTTCTTTAAATTTCTTCTTTGACCCAATGGTGTTCAGAAGAATATTTCTTAATTTCCACATATTGTGAATTTTCGAAAATTCCTCCTATTGTTGATTTCTAGTTTCATACCACTGTAGTCTTAAATTTGTTAAGACTTGTTTGTGGCCAACATAGGATCCATGCAGGAGAATGCTCTGTGTGCATTCAAAAAGAATATGTTCTTTTATTGTTCGATGAAATGTTCTGTTTATCTCTGTTAGGTCTGTTGATTCAAAATGTAGTTTAAGTCCAATATTTCCTTATTAATTTTCTGACTAGATGATCTGTTCATTGTTAAAAATTGGGTATTGAAGTCCTCCACTCTTATTATAATGCTGCCTATCTCTCCTTTCAATCTCCTAATATTTGCTTTATATATTTAGATGCTTCAATGTTAAGTGCTTGTATATTATAATTGTTATATCCTCTTGATGAATTGACTCCATATCACTATCTTTTTTCTTTTTCTTTTTTCTTTTCTTTTTTTTTTTTTTTAAGAACTGAAGATTGAACCCAGGGGCACACAACCACTGAGCCACATCCCCAACCCTTCCTTCCTTCCTTCCTTCCTTCCTTCCTTCCTTCCTTCCTTCCTTCCTTCCTTCCTTCCTTTCTTTCTTTTTCTTTCTTTCTGAAAAAGTATCTCACTAAGTTGCTTAGGGCCTTGCTAAATTGCTGAGGCTGCCTTTAAACTCACAACCTCGTGCCTCAGCCTCCCTAATCACTGTTATTACAGTCGTGTGCCACCATGCCCAGCTATCACTACCTTCTTTAAATCTGTTTTTTTTTACAATTTTATACTTAATGTTTATTTTCTTTTACTTTA